GAAGCTCGTCCCGGAGATAATCTATCTCTTTTTCTCGCTCACCAGATCGTTGTTCCATAACCTTCATCTTCTGTTTTTGTGCTTGGTACTTATTGATGATGTCTCTTGCCTTGAGACATTTTTCAATGGCGTACTTGTGAAGCACAAGATTCTCGGCAGCTGGGTCCGAGAACTCATCAGAATCCACTTCGCTCAAGTTTTTCGCATAAGAACCTGCATCAGATTCAATATCAGTTAGGTGGACAGAGGAAGTAAAGCAGTTATATTCATTAAGAAGACATTTAGCAGAGTTGTTTGAGTAGATAGAATTCTCAGTTGTCTCAGGTTCTTTGTCCTCATCGTCACTGGAATCAGACCATGTAGCCTTGAATGTCTTGTTCTTCTTCTTGAAATTAGGGCATTCTTTTTGGAAATGTCCAAAGCCTTTGCATTCACGGCACTGATCCTTCTCTACTCCTTGATTAGAGTTCTGAACCTTGTTCAGCTGCAAACCAGAACGCTTTTCTCCGAATTGCTGAATTTGGTTCCTACCACCATCAAATGACCTATTACCCTGAAACCTTTTTTTCTGAAATTTCTTCAGTTTCGAGACATTTCTTGAGAGTACAGTAAGTGCCTTGGTGATTTCATCAGGATCAAAGGATTCCTCATCAGATTCTTCATCTTCAGCTACTGAGGTGCGAACCTTGGCCTTCAACGCCAAGCCTTTCCCTTTGCTTATCCTCATAGAGTCAAAACCATGATTGATTTCGAAGGTGCGAAGTTCACTGAGGAGATCGTCAATGCCAAGTTTCTGAATCCTCTGGAAGCTCTCAAGTGCTGTGATCTTGATTCCAAACCTATCCGGCAGAGTTCTCATTAATTTCTGTACTTGTCTAGCCTCTGGAACCGGTTCACCAAGCATTGCACTTTGATTGACTAGGTCGCAGAACCGAGCATAGTACATATCAATAGTTTCATCCTCCCTCATACGAATCTCATCTAACTCGGTGGAGACTCTTTGAAGCTTTGAGGTTTTCACGGCATTTGTACCCTCAAATTGTCTTTCTAAAATCCTCCAGGCTTCTTGAGCGGTGGTACACTGAATGATTATCTTATGACGAGTTGGATCTACTGCAGACATGATAGCATACAAAGCACGGAAGTTCGCTTCTTCCGCCTGTTTTTCATCGTCAGTCCAAAGACTCCTTGGTTTTTCAACAAGAACTTGAGTGGAAGACATAGACGACTTTGCATCCGAAGGTTCACCTTGTTTAAATTCAGCGGGAGCTTTTGGCATAAGTGGTGTCGACCATCCTGATTCAACGGCCTGCCACGTGCCTTTGCCAAGGGAACGAAGAAAAATTACCATCATGGATTTCCAATAAGCATAGTTTGCTCCATCAAGAAACGGAGGGCGCGAAACAGACATTCCATCGTGACTCATGGTGACCAACACACAGTCCCAAAGATCTTTATCCCGTAGTAAGAACAGGAACACTGCTCTGGTGCCAATTGAAACGTATATTTGTCACGGAGTGCGCTAATTGTAGTAAGAACCAAAGTAAGAATTGTGAAATGCGGAAGCAAACAACCAAAGAATAATTAACTCTTCGGGGAAGCGTCCCACTTCCCCTCAGAGCTCTTTCATTGATAGATCACTCATAAACATAGTTTGGACTTACAACGACTTGAACTCCCTTCAAATCTAGCCAACACTACTTGATCCTATCAACTAATTCTCCGGCCACGTCCCGTGGACTTATAAATCTACACTTATTCCCTAAGTGTACAAATCGTGAAATAGTTTTTGATGAAATGTAAAAGAACTGAACAAATGCAGTATCAGTCCTTGAGTTTGTAAGAACTCTTAGACTGTACTAAATACAATCAAAATAGAACAGTAAGCAAGTGAAGCTTGAATGGCTCTCAAATATTTCTCAGTGTGTCATCCACGGCCGCCATAAGCTTCTCCTAGGGTATATATATGATCTCCTTAGGGTTGGAGTCTTCTACAAGGCATAGGACTTCATCAAGATTTCCTTCCAAGATAATAACATATCTTTGGTAAGTAAACCTTTTATTCTCTCTCCTTGATCTCCTCTCCAAGCATGTCTCTTTCCTCCTTCTTTATCTCACCACACGTAATTTCCTAGCATATCAAAACGGTAATAAGATCAACATGAACTTATATAAGGAAAATAAAACAATATTACATAAGGAAATATAATATTTAACGATCTTCCCTTTTATTCTGTGGTTCCAGGTGCTTGTTCGAACTAATCGAACTAATGCCAAAATAAAATATCTTTCAAGTGTGTTAGTTAGTTAGGTAAGTAACAAAAGCGTTTTTCTTTATCTCTCTTGATCTGTTTATCATATAGAAATATGTAAACTCTCTCACTTTTATTCATTATGGCAAATGAAAGTATCTAGATTTGAGCTAACAGTTCTGCACTTACACTTTCGAGTTGAGAGCTCTCTTCATTGTATCAGGAGCTAGGTTAAGCTCAAAGTAGCATGGCTAACGCCAGATGGGCTACCCTTCATTTAGATTCTAGTAGCCGTCATGTATTTTTACGCTTCGACCCGCTCTATGGAATTGACTGCTTGCTTAGACACCTGTCAACCTAGACTCGGACTTTTCCTTTTGGCTGTTTGTCTTTTTCTTTTTCTCGTCTTTTTGCTTTCGTTTTTGGGTTGGACTTGTATAGACCTCTGATTTTTCGGCCCATTTAGGGTCTTGACTATATACATGTTGTGGATCTAACCTTATTTCCCCTGGGAATTTGCTTTTAAAAAANAAAAAAAAAAAAAACAACAAACAACATCAATATTGGGCTATCGAATTTCACACATCTTTGAGACAGATAAAAGTAGAATCAGGGATTATCATTTTATGAAAGGAATTTTTGGTTATTCTAGTGGTTATCCAAAGTTGGAGGCATTATCTAGTGGGACACAAATTTATCATATATATGGATATACCAACAAGCCTGGAAAAACATTTATTGGATCATAAAATTATGACTCCAATGCAACAAAAGTGGTTAAACAAGTTATTAGGCTTGAACTATAAGATTGATTACAAGAAAGGGTCAGAATATAGGACTAGCTGCAAATACCTTGTCAAAAAAGGCTATTGGAAAGACCAAGCTTTCATTCCTCATAAAATGGAACTAAACTAGACTCAGCAGGTTGTTAGTAATAATAACATCCAGTACTATTTATCCTACTGCATACATAAACTTTGAATTGACTGAAGGATTAAAAAAGGTATAAACATAGAGTAAAAATTGGTGGAGACAAGAAATTAAGAAAGGTGGTTATCCACCTCCATTGCTATCAATATGGCTTTATTTGCACTCTCAAGACACAGTTGCAGGGAAACTCATTCAACAGAGGCAAGTGGCCCTATAGAACTTAAAAGAACACCTAATTGTAACATAAAATCGCATCAAGGTTTATGCAGACTAGTATTCGACCTTGTGCATTTGCACAAATGTAAATAAAATTAAATATTATAAGTTATATTTATGTATATAATATAAAAATTATAAGTTATATAATTGTAACATATAGTATTATAAGTTATATTTATGTATATAATATTAAAATTATAAATTATATAATAGTATTATATTTTAAAATTTGATCATTGGTTAAAATAAATAGGACACACGATTTGATTGTATACGAATCACTATATTGATCGCATAAAATGTAATAAATATATACTTTTTATAATTTTGAGTGATCATGACCAATTAATTAGCTGAAAAATATTACATTTATTATAACAATTAGTTATGTGATTTTAAGAAATTTTACTATGACATAAAAAAAAATTAATTTATTAATAAACAACCGCTTCATCATATAAAAAAATATTGATTTTAGTGTAAAATATAATTTTATGTAACTTTCATATATTATTTAGTATAAAATATAATTACTAATTTTAATATTAACTATTATATTATTCAATAAAAAATATAATTATTAAACATTAATTAACATAAAATATAATGATTTTTGTCTTAATTAACCCAAAAAAATGTAATGAAATATTTTTTTTATTAATAAGATTGGGTGTATTAATGCCATATAAAGAAAATTTATTAGGTTTTATTAATGATTTGCCACATAAGTAAAATTTATTAGGTTTTATTTATTATGTAAAATTTATTGCTTAGCTAACAATTATATATATATAGATAAGCACATGCAAAAAATGGAATTCCAAGTAGGAGATCAAGTTTTCTTAAAACTACACCTTTTAGACAGAACACAATTGCACTTAGAAGAAATCTCAAATTAACGTTGAGTAATTTGGCCCCTACTCTGTTTTCTTAAAACTAGCTTGTGTTTTAAAAGGCGTATTAATGTATCATAATATATCACGTTTTGGTTCTTGTATTACGTAGCGTAAATAGCTTTGCGTGTTGCATAAGCTATTGGGCATAAAAAATTATTTTTTAATATTGTTATATATATATATATTCATATATTACAAAAGCAAGAAATTTAAGTCAAATAAAAAAGTTTCATACAAAACAATTAAATCTAAAAGATAATATTCAAGTGTTATTTCTTACAAGTATTTAACATAAAACGTCATAATATGACTATTAAACAATAAAACTTTTAATTTAATTTAATTTAATTTAATTTAAACTATCAAAAATCAACTTTATGAAGTATTAAAGTAATTTAAAAAAAATAAATTGAAGTAATATCAAACATTTTAATTATTCATTATTGTTTGAGACATGAGCTTAACAATAGAAATAATGACACAAATTTGAAGACAAAATAACCAAACCGAAAAAATGATGACACGCAAATCTAAACCTAACCGAATCGGGTTACTTCGGTTTGGGCTGGTTCGATTTTTTAGTTTTCGGTTTTAAAAACCCAAAGCTACCCGGCCCAAAACTTTTTACTCTTTCACCCTTTCATTTGCGGTTCCCAAACCATTTAACTCCGGTTACGGTTCGGTTTTCTAACCCGGAGTTCGTTTGGCACTACCCAGGAGCCTAAACCCTAAACCCTGATTCACCTTCGATTGATCGCACAGAAACCCGAAAAGGTAGCAGAAGAAAAATGAGCGGAACACCTGATTTCTTCTACAGAGAAGCCCAGCGCCTCGGCTATGTTGCTCGCTCTGCCTTCAAGGTCCCTCTTTCCCTTATTGCTTTTCTCTACATTTTGAAACCAAGCGAATATAGTCTTCTACGCGTACATGAACAGCGGTGGATTGTAAAATTCGTTAACTCTTTGTTGGAATTTGAAATTGGAAATGCAGTTGAGTCAGATGCAGAAGCAGTACAAAATCATAACCCCAGGTTCTTCTGTTCTCGATCTTGGTTGTGCTCCTGGTGCTTGGCTTCAGGTAAAACTCGAACTTTACAGTGATTTTTACTTTCCTCTGTGCTTGGTTTTTGATGTGTTTTATAAGATTATGCTTGATATTTGGTAGTCCTTGTATGGCGTATTCTGAGGAGAAAAGTGGTAGTTTGATGATCTTAGGGGTTAAATTATAAGTCCAATGAAACCCATTGAGTGGCCCCTTGAATTGTCGTGAAAATTATTTTATTTTAGTGTTTTGTTAATTTTATGATTGCAGTGGAGTGGATGGAATTCTGGCTGCTGCTTGTTGATGATTGATTGTTTATATGATTTAGCATGGTTGTTATATGGATGAGAAAAAAATAAGTAATTGCTGTTGTGTGGTAATCCAGGTGGCCTGTCAAAATTTGGGGCCTTTGGAAAAGGGTGGAGTAGTTGTTGGAGTTGATGTTAAGGTAATTCCTTGGGTACCAAAACTCAGTAAAATTTGTAGTTACTGACGAATGAGAGTTCGGCTGGGTATTACCTATGAAGACACTGATTGCGTTAGTTTTGTCATTTATGCATTGGAAAATATAATTAATTTATAATTTGAATGTATTATTGATTGATGCATGGTGTGTTGCAGAGCAGAAGGTGAAGGTCCCATCCAAGTATTGTGATGCAAGGGTTAAAACAGTTTGTGCTGATGTGTTGAAACTGACAAGAGACCACGTTAGAGCACTCTCTCCTCAGGTAGATGCAAATTATGTAGCTTTCATCTGATTATTGTGATGTCAAGATCATTAATTTTCCAACTTTGGTTGAATTTTTGCTCTTCAGAGGAAAAAGAGATATAGGACGGGGCGACATTCTTTTATAGTTATATATGGGTGGAGAGATTTGCTTATGTCTTTTTTTACTTGTGGGGTGTTGGTTGAAGATTTAGAGCTCCTTTAAGACCTCCTGAGATACAATTGGGTTTGAGTTACTTTACGATGGACTTTTTATTTAATACGTTATTCCAACCTAGATATTCACATAGCACATGTTTAAGATATATATAGTAATAGTGGCATGAAGGTTTTCTTGAATAGTATAACCTGAAAGGAGGATAACAAAAAAATCTTGTTTTCTCATAACAAGATTTAACATCTGGTGGACTTTGTAATCATCCCCAAATCTCTATAAGCTCTCTTTGGTAGATTTTGTCATTATCCATTTGATTTTTTTTATTATCTTGCTTTGGCATCTTTAATTTTTATGCCTCTTCATAAGTAAGATATTATTTTAAAGAATCACTTACTGATGCATTGAGGTTGATCTTCTGTTGCTTGATATTTGTAGGAAAAAGGATTTAGCGTCATACTCTCTGATATGTGCCCCTTAGTATCTGGAATTACAAGTAGAGATGCAGCTTTATCTGCGCAACTCGGGATGCGGGCCCTTGATCTTGCAGTCGGGAGGGCTGCTGTTGCCCTTGACTGCATAGACACTAATAACAGCATTAATAATTTGTTATCATCTGTGGAAGTGCAATCAGATAGTTCATGCTCGGCTTCAAATGCCAATGGTGTGCTTCGACCAGGAGGCCACCTTCTCATTAAGCTTCTCGAAAGTGAAGACATAAAAGGTGTTGATTCTCTTCAAGTTCTATTTTTTTTTTTTCCTAGTTATATACTTTATATCATAGTATAATAGAATATAATATATAGTAGTTATATATATATATATTATGTTTCGCTTGCAGAATTCGGCCAAATTTGCAAGAAACTCTTCAATAAGGCATCATGGTTGAGGCCTAAAGCTACGAGATCTTGTTCCAGGGAGATTTATTTGATTTGCCAGGGGTTAAAATAGGTGATGCCATGACATATGTGATATCATTCATGTGGTTTAACTCTTGAAACCTTTTTGTCATGTAAATTTATTGTGTCTCATCAATAAGACTATTTCTCTTTTTCATCCTTTTGTATTATCATAAATCAATGGGAGTTTAGATCTCTGGTTTTGGTATTTGTGAACGAAAGTATTTAAATTGCACTAGAGATGGTCGAAAGTTATATTGCCTTTCTTTTTTTCCCATTGATTTAAAATGAGCCAAAATATGAGATGGTTCAAATTCCTCGTCCTTTCTAGCTGGGAATGGAGGGAGGTGATGCTAGTCGACTAAGAGTTCATAATCCTCTGCAATATATTCCCACTTTTGTACAGAAACAACACAATGAAATTCAAAATCTTCCATTCTCGCCCCCGAAAACTCAAGTTTATAGATGGCCTCACAAGGAATAATGAAAGAAAGAAATCAAATGGATCAAAACTAGAATGCAAACCGAACCTTGTTTGTAGAAGACGGAGAGTCCAAAATCGGTGGCCTTAAGCGGCAATAATGGAAGGATTGAGAGATCCGAAAGCAGCCGGTTCCAATTCGAAACCAGCGGTCCCATTTTAGAATCGGCCCGGTGGTTCAGTACTAATTCGGTAAATTAAAAATAACACTAATAATAATTAAAATAATATATAATAAGTAAAAATAAAAATCAAATTTTAAATTAGAATTTTGGCGTCGAAGCGCTAGTTCAATTTCTTCAAAAAACAACCAACTCGCCTAAAACCACGGGTCAGTTCTAGGCCCGCAGACAACAATTTTAAGTCGGGCCGGTTCGAGGCCACCTCTAACCATACATACTTAAAAATTTGACATATATACTTCGAAATTTTATAATGTATCCTTATATGACCATATATACTTAAATTTGACCGTGTATATAAAAAATATTGTACGTTTTTTACACACGCTTGTTAAATTCAATTAACAATTTGATCTATAGAAAACAATTCCACGAATCCAACGAATTATAACTAGGATAAATTAAATATTATTAAGCAATTTTCAATCCAATTACAAACTTTTTTTGTTATACGTTATAGCAATATTTCTTTTTGAAAAATAATATTATTTTAAATAAATACAAACCTTTATATATAGAGAGAGATTATATTGCTTATCATTTTAGATTATTCCTCCTTTGTTAGAAAAACTTTTGTTACAAACATCTAGTCTAGAATAATGTTAGAAAAGACTGTTAGAAACATTTAGTATAATGTTACCAGATAGCCTATGTTGGTGATTAACCAAGTGAAACTAGAGACGCAAGAATTTTTAGATGATAAACCACCTCATCAACTCTTATAAATATAAAAAGTTGTAATGACCGCATCAAATTGTTTTATAATTACAATTTTTATGCTTTAAGTAGAGTTAAATATTGCCGTAGAAGAGTTGAGTTTTGTATGAATAAAGTAGTGAGTAGAGTTAACATGCTATGTGACTTCGATAGTTTAGTGTAACATGTATAACATCTCTCTGTAGACATGTCAAAATGGGCTCTTCATAAAACAAAAAAAAAAATCAATTTAAAAGA